CGTACGACATAATCAAGCCAGCGAAACCTTGGTTATGCGGTATAGCTCATTCGATACGCAAGTGACCATAGATCTTCCGAAAATTTTTTCTCTCGAATTCTCCTAACGTCTTCTCATCACTATTGGTAATTATTCAAGCTTCTGCACTATACAGCAGGATAGGCATTATAAGAGATTTGTAGAGCGTGTTTTTTGTTTGTCGAGAGAAGGCTTTCTTTCTTGCTTATTTAACCCGAAGTAAAATCTATTGGTAAAAGTGATTCTTCGTTGACTCCTAGGCTGACATCATTTATGGTGTTTATGCTGGTTCCCAAATAAACAAAATCTTTCACAATTTTGAGCTTATAATCGTCAGCAGTGACGTGGGTCCATTCCTTAATTTTTGTTTTAATTTCCTGTTTACGTAAAAATGAAAGCGTAGTGCAGTCAAAGAAACGTTCCTGATAATTGATATGTGATGGTTTCCCGTTCATAACATTCACAATTTAAAGTATTAAACTATTGTATCAGCTTTTGATGTTATCCTGTGATTTTTGCCATGATATATATTATTATTATTTTTATTTTATTCACACTTCCAAGTACATTACTAATTAATTTCATTTTTGACTTCATTCTTTAATTTTTACTATATTTTCCTATTTATTGTAAAACAAATATTTAAAGCAATCCAATAAAAGTTACTGTATAATTGATATGTGGAATTTCTATTTTCATATCATCCTTAATGAAGTGCATAAGAAAAGAACCCGTCAGCTACTTCAACTAAGACGGAACCTGCTCAGCACTACGGTATCTGTGCTGACGGGACACTGCGTAATAGGAAGGCATGCTATGAGACTGGGTCTCCCCTTTAACGACTTTTGTCGAGGCTGTGGCTCTGAGGATGAGGAGGAGACTGTACTCCATCTCATGTGTCAGTGCCCTTCCCTAGCCAGAAGAAGATTAAAAATCCTTGGATCTCCTTTTCTAACTGACCTGACTGAGTTGTCATCCTGTAATGTTAGGGACCTAGCCAAGTTCATAGAACTGTCAGGTTGGTTTTCCTTTGCATAATGGGGGATTCGTTACCTTTCTTTCGGCGTTAAATGTATACTGATTAAAATCTATATACAAATAACGTAACTCCTGTGGTACCACAACGGGCCTTTATTTGTGCTTAAGTGGGCTTTTTGGGATACAAGGCCGCCACTCCAACCTATACCTATACCTAATGAAGTGCATATCAAAGTTGCCTCTGACTTTTCATATCATTCTTGAATAATTGCTTTATATATTTATTTATCTCAATTTAAATAATAAATGCATTCAATTAAAGATTTCGGATCATTGATATTTGGTATTATACTTCCCGTATCGTCCACACTTCCAACCACTCTTAACATAACATGTAAAATTTTTATCTGACACTATCCTCTTTCACAAACTCTTTGTATCATCTAACTCCCACAAAAAGTACCGATTTAGTAATTATCTCAAAGCCATTTCGTCTCGAATAAATTTTTGAAATAATTGCAGCGTGAGTTCATTGAGTTCAACTGACGGGAATTAAATTTTGCATTTCGGTGATAATATCACAGCTCACCAAAACGTGTTAGGCACATTAAGCTGGAGCATAGGAAGGGAAGTAATAGTGTACCGAGGCTATAGCTAAAATGTTGATATTTAAATCTGTTAGTAAGAATATATTTGTATGTTTGACTGGCAAAAAGTGAAGACTTTGTAGGAGCTGCGCCCAAGAAGGCAAAGGCTGGGCAAAAACTGCACATTTTTGATTTGCAATTTCAAGTGCTTAACTGCATTCCACTTGCATCAGAAGCAGTGGCAGTGGCAGTGGCAGTAGCTGTGGCTGTAGCTGTAGCTGTGGCAAGGGCATTGAGAGAATGCAGCGAACACAGGTCACTGATTCAAAATTTTAAGTAATAAATTTTATGCAATGCTGGACGCGCCAAACATAAGCTTCATAACTTTCGAACGTGCACAAGCAGACTTTTCATCCAATCTATGCTGTTGAAATTTTTTCTATATTCCAAACTGTTTTAACCGTACACCGAAAAAGTTAATCTTTTTTTATTTCTTGTCTTTCGTTGGCTTTTTCGAATATTTCTTTCTGTTAATGTTTTTTTTTTGTTTTTTTTTTTTTTAATACATTATATATACATATATTTATATATCTGTATATACATATTTTTGGTAACATTTTGGCGAAATTTTTAGTTGTACGCAGGCAAATACCACCGACCGACCACCAATCGTGTTACAAAACTCGGATTAAATTTTAACTCACATATGCATAAATTATTTTAGTAGCTTCCTGTGCTGCCAGATTTTTATTACAATATATCCTACTACTTTTGTTATAAATATATACACAGTAGATATGTCTGGATATGGATGCATGTGTGCATGCATGCAGTGCTTCTGGAATTCTTGCGCGCTCGCCGCCTCACACCGCCTCACACTGACGAGGCGGCCAGTTGGCTGTTGGGCTGTTGGGCTGCCGGGCTGCCTAGTTTGGCCGCCCGCTCGACTAACTGCATGCCGCCTGTTTGCTTTCTGCCCTGCTTATATATTGAAGTTGTATTTTCGGTTTTAACTTCTGCTGTTTTTACGTTTTTACTGGGACTTGGTATGCGGATTGTTGCAGCACTCATACTTGGCCACAAACAATGCAGTGGTTTGCGATGGCGAAGTAACAGTGGAATGCGGCGATAAAAATCACATCGCACACAGCTTGATAGCGTGAAATTGAGTTTAAGTGCAAAATAAATAAATATTGTCAAAAAAGAACAAAACCTGCATCAAAAGAGCAAAGTGACGGTACGAGCGTTGCATTGTGGTCTGGGTTGTACTGTGCGTGGGTTCACACTACTCCAACCAAATTGAAAGTTTCACTTCCACTTCCTGTTTTTGCTTTCGTATTTGGTTTTGTTTTCATTGCACACACCAAAAATGAGTAATACACAATTTTTTTTGAGATAATTATCTTGTAATATTAATTATAAAAGAACTTTGTCTAATGTGTAATATTAGAAGTAAACCGGTACTAGTTCAAGCACTTGCCATATGTAACTTCATTCCACTCTAATCTCCTGATAAGGTTTATCTCAGCTTAGCCCTCGCGATGAACTATTCCAACTTAATTTCAGTATATCTATTAAAATGACCAAACAATCGGGGATGTTTATTCCATTCTGATATATAATAAATGGCAGCTTAAAGTGAATGTTGTACTGATATTCTGTGGCACCAAAGCTAATTGCAATAAATATTCTTTCCTTAATCAAATAAAGTACAAGTACTTTAAAATATATATAATGGGACCTCCCTTCAAATATCTAAAATAAGATCTAATGTTATAGTACATAAAAGTTTTTGCCTCTGTTATAATTAATCGCCGTGATTAACTATCCCAACTTATTTAGAATACATCGTTCAAAGCACATCCATAAGTAATCGGGGATGGGTGTTCAACTTTGACAAATGGGAACCAAATGTGAATGCAGTGCTGATATACGAAGATAACAAAGAGTATTTTATTAGGTCCCTGCAAGGACCTAAGATAAAAGTTAAGAGTAATATAAGAATGCTATAAAAATATATGTATACTATATATTTATACGATAAATAATAGTTTTTGCTCATTACCATGACCTTATCCTCTTCGAAGGAAGCAATTTGATCATCGACTCCAACTCAGCCAACGTGTGGCTTCTGAAATTATGTACAACATAATATATATCTAATTCCTGTTGAGAAATTAAAAGATAATTAAATTATAATAAAATAAATAGAATAAAATATGAATTAAAACAATTATAAATTTTGCACTCCTTTAGTAGAGATTTATATAAAGTCAGTAAAAATAAATAAATACAAAATTTTAATTCCTCAAATAAAAAAATTAAAAGTCTTAATAAATACAAACATTAAATTAATCAATAAATATTATTTAATTCTAATTAAAACTAATAATTAGTAATAATCATTTTATTTATTAAAAACAGTGCAACATTTAAAATTAACATTAAAAAGTACGCTGGCTCCGATCTTCAAATTTGGCAGGGCATGAAGTCTATTCCTAGTACTTGAAGTCTCAAAAAAACTATTTACGAATAAATAAATACATGAAGTATTTTCACGACCACTGATGATAGGTATTTGGCAATACTCGAAACAGCTGTATGGTTAGCCAAAAATGCAATTAATTCAAATAATATAAAAATGAATTTTTGTTGTTGTAGTTCACTACATTTCGAAGACCTTTTTATGAAAAACTAAAAAAATTTTCAAATTTTTAGTTTAGTAAAACTCTGGTGTTAGATATCATCAAATATCCATCACATTTGGCCTTTGTTGAATTATTTCGAATAATCAAAAAATTAGATTGTTCGAAAAGTAGTTAAAATAAGAAACAAAGTTTTTTCAACACTTTACGAAGATCTCCTGACTAGAACACATACATTTTTCATTCACTTTTCATAAATAGTTTGAGCAACCAGAGATGTTATACGAGTGCTGTCTTTTAAGTATTTCGCCTAGCAATGAAAACACTGTGGCTCATCAGTGAAAATGATTTTATTGTTTTTCGAAGTGTTCTCCAATGATTAACACACTTTTGCAATCAACTAAACCAATTTTCGAAACAATTATGCCACTCTGAAGTTGGTATCTCCAAAATCAAAATTTCGAATGTCTCAATGTCCTATTTGGAAGTAGAAAACGCTTGCCACGTATTTTTATCTTAATGTCTGGGAACACAAAAGAAATCAAGTCGGGCTTCTAAGATGGATGAGCCATCGATTAATTCAATATATTTTATTATTTTATTCTTATTAATTTTAGTATGTGAACAGTAAAAATGACATTAATCTTTTATTTTATTGAAGACTGTAATTCACGCTTGATCTAAATAAAAGCCGCTTCATTTAAAATTCATATAGAATTTTATTTTTATTTTTTAGTCAAAAGGTTAAAATAATTGCAAAGACAAAAAACTTTTAAATCTTAACTTCCTAATTTTAAATTTAAATTAGTTTTAACCTAAAATAATTGTGCTTCTTTTTCAAACATTAAAATGTCATTAAAGTTGACGAGGCTATATTTAGTAATACCTCGATCAAAAAATGTGTGAAAGACAACATCTTTCCTAGTCAATCGATCAGCCAGGTCATCATCTGAAAATTTAAAGCGCATAAGAATAATTCTTTATTCATATTTAAAATTCAAAACATTTTTTACCTTGGGGACGATAATCAGTTAGTATGTAGACATATTTATCATGACAATCCCTTACCATATACTTATTAGCGAAGGATAGATCAACAACAGCTGGTAGAATGATACGTTTACGTAAAAACAACACTTTACCCTGCGGTATAGGAAAAATGTTTTCCTTCCTCTGCATAGACAACAACACTTCTTGCGCATCCATGGTAATATTACGCTTAAGTCTCTCGATGAAACATCGTTGGTTTTCATAGTCCACAATTACGGTGTGATTTTTTCTGAAGTCGTGATAAATTTGAGTAGATAGATTACCACTGATATCATAAACATTTATAACTGCTTGGACTCCCATACTAGCAGTTATATTAAATTGGATTTCTTCACGTAAGTAATATTCATAGGGATCAATTAAAGCATCAATTAAAGTTTCAATATATTGTGACGCTGTAACTGTCTTCCAGGTGGAGTTGAAATCATCTGTTTGACTTAACATGTACGGAATTGATCCCGTATAATTGTCATGGATGGGAATAGCACACAGAGCAAGATAATATATATTATCATGCTTGTGATTAACCTTCAAATAAAATATGGAAGCGAGAAAAGAACCTGTCATTAGGGCAGCAAGAATAATAAATGTAGTCATAAAAATCTTTGCACGAAATCCGCTTGGTTGCTTATAGTATAATTCCTCGTGGCACAATTCATATGCATCACACCACTCTTGCTCATGTCCTTGGAGTAAACTATAGCAAGTGTTTGCCATACTAGTTGCGATCCTGTATTGTATTTATCCCAGAAGAATAAAATAGCAAAAAATTTAATCCGTTATTGAATTCTTCCAAACTTATTAAAATATACAAAATCTCACAATTTTCGAGGAGAAAAAAAATTAAACTGACTTGATACAAAAATTTATATTCATGTTTTTATTATCGAAGTTAAAAAACAAAAAAAACATAGCCAACTAATATATCTCGTTTGCTTAATTTACAATAATTCATGATTTATGATCCGTAATCAAATAAATTAAATATAATAACTAACAACAGTCTGTTGAACAGTCTGACACTCTATCAAGATTATGACTTGACTTGACTTAATTAACTAAACTGGCCGTTACAGAAGTGAGTCTTCTTTGACCGTGTCCAGTATTCTTTGCCAGTCAATCCAGTGAGGGACTTGCTATCGCCAATTGGTGGTACTGAGTGACTTCATTCAAATCCTTGTTCACCATCACATGAAGTGAACGTCCATCATTTCTCTTTCTTCTAGAACGTATCAAATTAAGCGCCTTCCTATCGGAAGCACTTTTTTCTATTCAAACGATATGATCAAGTCAGCGAATCCACTAAATTTTTATGCGCTTTACATTAATTTCGCGGTATAGCTCATGCCACTTAACATTCCATATAATTTAATACTCATCGCCAACGCGTAAGGAACCATAAATCATAAATCAAGAATCATGAATTTTACCCTTTATAACTGTTTACGTATAATCATCCATTTCATTGTAGTTGGTGTATATTTGGGCACATACACTGCAACAGTTATTTTATTATCTCATTGTAACTACTATTGACATATACACCAATTAAGCACCATGACAATATATCATAGAAGTAGACTAAATAAAGCAATACTTTACATCTACTCATAGTTTATAAAGCCCATTTTATACAACTACCTACTAACAGAATATGAAGATAGAAGCCTGCCTGAATGCCTTATAAGAAAATATGTACCATTACACATAGGAAGACGTCGATTGAAACGGTAAAGTGAGTAAAACTGTCTGCGAATAATTAAATATAAGAATTATTTTCAAGACCACTGATGATGGGTTTTTTCGATTTTGATCCTAACGATTAATAACTAGTTGCCGGTAGTTATCAATGCGTAAAATTGATTGAACTTCAATGCATACAGCACCACCAAACATCAGGGCATGGTAAAAGACTTTCAAAATGTAACTAACATTAGATGAAGACAACTTTAGTTACCAATTGAATCTATTGGAATCTATTACAGAATCTATTGGCAGGTATTTTTAGCTAATTTATTAATTTCTTAGTTAATTTGTAATCTAAAAAAACTACTTTATTTTCTCTGCATTTATTGTGGAAAACATTTATTAATCAGAAAAGTTACACAGATTGTTTGCCAACTTGTCTTTCCATAGAAAACGCTGATGTTCTACCCCACGTCTTTATGGATGACTCTCTTTAAATCATTCACTTGACACTATCAAGCTTAAGATGCCGCTGAACCATAATACTTTTAACTATATCAGTATTACGGTATAGCTTATACAGCTCATCGCTTGATCTAACACCATTGAAAATTCTGTCATTATAATACGAATCTGTAGCTGTTTGAATTTTCATTTCCAACATTGAATTGAAGATGTCATACGCTAAAGATGTCACCAGCTTGAGACCTCATTTGATATGGAATGAGTTAGGAAAGTTTCTCATAACTTTAACAAAACTGGTGATAGTGCTAATATAATTTACACTAGGTTTACTGAAATACCAATTTCAGATATAATCACAGAAAGAGTTTTTTTAGTCATTTTATTAAAAGTAGCCTTAAAGTAGATAAGATTTATTTTTCTTATATTTCTTTCGAGAATATGACGCACTGCGAATATCTGATCAATTATTTTAATTGGTACAATTGAAGTACGTTGGACAGTACCTTATGTACTATATTTTTTTGCGACAGGCAAATAGTGAGTGTACCATTACTATCTCAGTAGCCAGGTCAAGAGCTACTTGGCCCATCTATTCCAAATATAGAACCTCTGACTTAATCTGTAGAAAAAAATCTGAGGTTTCTAAGCTAATATCTGTCTTTACGGGTCACTGGTCCATAGGACGCCATGGAGCTAGACTTGGCCTTAATAGACTTCATCTATTATTCTCTAATACAAAATATGGATCATACAATACTGTTTCAAATAGATTGCAAAAATATTTAAAAAATTATATCATTTTGTTTGTTCTCTAATGAGTGGACTTGACCTATTCCTTATTATTATTGAATATGAATTGCAAAAAAGATTTTCTGTGTTCCAACCCAAAAACTAAAAGGACTTATTTAATTAGACTAAATTTTTCCGCTCTAAAATTCGTGTCTACATTATATCGCATAATTCGATTTTCCAATGTTTTGGTACTTACAAATAGAGAGATTGAAAGTAGGGCATCGCTACTCTGTATATTAGAAACGAGCATGTCTTCTATGGTAATTTGATCATCGCAGGAAATACCAGAAAATACCAGAAAACAGCAGAAACCACACACAAAGTGCTTAGTTCCACCAGTGTAAATTTCTTGGGGGTATTAAACGCATTTGTGCTAAATGTTGAACTTTCCACATTACTTTTTCTAATAAAACCGAGTAAGCCACCAGGTTGAGCATTACAGTTGATTTCGCACACGGACTCGACTCGCTGCTGAAGAGTTTCAATAAACTGACAAGTATTTTGAGTTATATTAGCGGTGTTGCAGAAATCTGAAAGTTTTGACAACACTGCACTCATTACGACATGTGACGGTACGAGAACGAATCGAGTGAAAAGCAAATTATGCATTTGAAGCATTTGAAGCATTGCCGCTGGCATTAATTCCGTTTACTTGGTTAACAACTTAACAACTGAGCAACGAAAACAAAACAATTTGCATCGCATGTCTGGTACTTAATTAAAATAAAACTCTGTGGCAGAGGAAGAGTATAACTATGAGTTCGACTGAAACACATACGAGTATGCAAAAGTTTAATATAACAGCTGTCAGCATATGGAACAAGTAAATCAGTCAAATTGATGCAAACATGCAAATAAATACGAACTTTTTTCCTTTGTTTCATAAAAAATGTAAAAATTCACTTCAAGTTAATGCACTTTTAGTTTCCCTGTGATAATGCAGGAAAATAAAAAAAAAAAATAAAATTTTCCACAACATTGAAACGCTTATATGTAGCATAACTGTATATGTCAATACCGCAGAAGTCACTGAAGTGACATTCCGAGAAGTTTTCTTAACGGCAACAATAATTATCTCTTATAGAAATACACAACAAAACCAACAGATCGGTAAAAATCCAATTATTTTAAATAGTGATTACTTAAAGTGATAAGTGCTCACTAACAGCACTTAATTTCGTACGTAGTGTATAAAGAAAAGTAACATTTAAAAACTAAGTGCTCAGTAATTGAAAGTTCAAAAGCCATTTATTTGGCATTGATATCTGATATCTGATATTAATATATAAAAGTCAACAGCTCATAGAGCTCATTATTATCAGCACATTTATTACAAAACCGGAAACTTCTGTGCAATATTATCACCATTTGAAGTTTTTTGTATTATTTTCTAAGACAGCAGGAAATAATATATAAAATTCATAAACAGAAATCTAGAAGTACTCTTCTTAAAAATTTTAGTATTTACATATACCTATTTGTTATTTGTTATTTATTTACTCATTTTATTTTATTTAAAATTTCTTATTTTCATTATCTATAAATCAGGTCAAAATCTGCAGATATACTGAAGCATATTTGTCAGTGAATTTTAAAAAACATTTAATTATCAATAGCAAATCATTGTACAATATAATACTAATATCCTTCATATATATTTTATGGACAAAAATAATTTTAAGAACAAAATTTTTATTTATTTCTAATTAATTTAATTTTTGACTGTCCATAAAGCTGTTTTGTGTATTGTTAGATACCCATAATTAGTGATCTTACAATTTTTTCTTACATATAATTATTCATAAATAATTTTTAGAGACCTTTAATAACCAAATGTTGGCAATAATCAATACGTTTATATGATCAGACAAAAATTTAATTAATTTAAAATAAATAAACATTTTGTTGTAAGAATTCACTACTGGTTGAAACCTCTCTATTAAATACAATAGTTTCTATTAAGTAAAATTAAAAAAAATCTATTTGCAGTAATAAATGTCTGTAGTGCTGTGCTAGAAAATTCATATACAGAACCCTGACTTACATAGAACTCCAGAGTGAACTATTTTTGAAATGCATATCCATTTGTTAATACGTGAATAAAACGTGAAACGTGAATAAAAGACACTTGTGACTAAAATTTTGATCCAATTTTAATAAAACCTGGACCTTAACAGTAAGTCTAAAGTTCTAGATTTTTCAAATGTTTTTTACTAGACATCTTAGAAAATCGAACTCATTCGAAGTAATCTTCAAAACATTTTAAGCATAAAGCTGACAATAACATCAATACCACAGCATATAGAATTTTATATATATTCGCATAGACACGATTCTTTATAACAATCCATAAAAAGTCAAGTGGTACAAAGTTACCGCTTGCAAGTAATGTTACAAAGTAACCAATAGAAAATGCGTTAAAAAAATTGTTTCCAAAACAACTTTCAATAATAAAACCATAATATCTTAAAAATAAAAACAACTTCAAAAAGCTTATATATACTATATATGATGTCTTGAACAACGATTTGAGTTATTTTTGCCAAATCAAGACAACTAAATGGACGAGCCCATTCATATAGTTGCTCAAGTTTTTAGGGTATTTGGATGAAAATTAAAGCGACCCTGTGACTCCACACCTATTTTAAATTTGATTTAATTTGAGCTATATATCACCAATTTTTCTTTCGATAATTTGATTATTTCTCGAATTGCTTCACTAGCTTATTTATACCTATTCGAATTCTCGATATTAATTTTTTTACTTTATTTAACGGATAACATCCATGACCGACATCCGTGGTGTGATACTAATGAAGTTAAAAGCGATGACTAAGCG